TTGTTTGGACTATCATCGTGTGTTTGTAGAAAAGGCTAACACATCCCATCACGAATTAGGTCACAACGGGCGCATGCAAACGTCCCGTTTTGTTCATCCAGCTGGGGCTACCGAATATGCACACATATCGTAAACAACTTCGTGACAGAAAAGTATTCCGAAAATAGAGGTCGCCACTTTTCCTAGAAGAACTTCAAAAGAAATATAAATTATATACGTTCATATTCATGCTCACACTATTCCAGAATGTGATAACACCTACAAAATATGTGCGAATTTCTTCTAAGATCACTATTTGATCAACGAAAACTAAGAGTCTAAGTATGATGAATATAATGCCTGATATTGTTCTATAAAAATAATAAAGATTGCATTTAGTTTAAAATGACACCCCAGTTATGCATCAGTGTATATTCATCGTGTTAGAATGGCAGTGCCAAATGATCCATACTAGTTACGCAATATACGCATGCTGGTAAAACATCACACGCGAACTGTATAGAAAGTTTGAGTTATTGAACCTCCTTCCCCCCAACACTACTTAACTTTTTATACTATATAGAGAACTTGAAGTACTGAATCAGGTCTTAATCCCTCCCCTTCTAAAAAGTAAAGCTTTGTCTTTCTATTTAATCTAAATTCACTATCATATTTGACAAATATTTTAAGGAAAATATGTGTCGAGTTTGTCGATAATAATTTTTTTTTCAGTTATAACAGTATTACGTACACAGATGAGCTGTGTTACTAAAAGCAGACACTGTAATATAGGCGAGAAAAATAACAGAGTCAAATATAATAATTACGTTTGTATATCCTACAAATAATATATCTATATTCTTTACTGTGTTAGATCTTCACTTTCCTTAAGAAAGTCCCTGACTAAATATCACAAGAACCCATTTCCTTTTCATCATGTTCGTCTTTATATGTCTCACATCTTTGCTTGATAAAGTTCCATAGTTAATTGGTATTAGAAACCACAATTATGATTTCTGGATTAGCAGAAATATATATATGAAAATTAAATAAATTCTGTCTTAGTTTATCCAACCACCCACGCGTAAGTAATATACATAAAAAACGGAATTAACAAAATGACTCTAGATATCTAAAATAGCACCAAGAGTGTACAAACAAACAATATTCAAACTTTCAGACATTAAAATAACATTAATTTTTACACTAGATGCAAAATTAATTTATAATACCGTACGAAATTGAATGTTTGTTAAAGAGATGGGATAAGTTGGTTCATGCATTGTGATGGTAGTGATAGGTTGGTGGTAGTTTAATTCATACATGGTTGATTGATGATATCTTGACTCATGTATGGCTGGTGTTAGGCTGTTTTGGTAATAAAAAGAATTACTACATTTATGACAAACAACGTTGTTTATTTATTTGAAAAAAGATGAACGCTTCGGAATTTTACAGATTCCATCTTCATTATCTAAAGCAAAATATCAACAATTTACACTAATCTTTCGACATCATTAAAATTACACACAGAGAGGTTTAATTAGTCTAGAACACCTATTCACAAGACCTAATTATTCTCCTTTATCTCCATCAAACTGCTAATCTCACTTTAAAATATTAGCCGTTAAGGTTGTTCACTCCCACGATGGCTAACTTCACGTTTTCTAACTTTTCTTTGACCGAACTTCTCTTTCACTTCACTTTTCTTTTACTCCCCCTTGTTCTGTCGTCACTATCTATATGTTTATCACTGAGGCCTCTAGAATTTTGTATAGCCTCGACACCAATGAATTGCAAACACAAGGTATGACTCTTAGTCTTACCCAGTTAGGTAACCAAACTTGTTATAACTATCGCCTTTAAAATAATCGCTTTTAACTCTCTTGTTATGAAAAACTCAACAATCATTAAATATTAACTCACAAAATAAATTAAATAATAATATCTACATTAAACAGTCTTGTATATCCAACAGTAGACAATATGTTGGTTAGTGGATGGGTATACGCTAGGTTGGCTGGTTGATGGATAAATGATAGGTTGTTTGATTTATAGATGAGTAGACGATAGGTTGGTTGCTATATGGATAGACGATAAGTTGGTTGGTTGGTGAATAAATGATAGGTTGGTTGCTGTATGGATAGACGATAGGTTGGCTGGTTGGTGGATAAATGATAGGTTGTTTGATTCGTAGATGGATAGACAATAGGTTGGTTGCTGTATGGATAGACGATAAGTTGGCTGGTTGGTGAATAAATGATAGGTTGGTTGCTGTATGGATAGACGATAAGTCGGCTGGTTGATGGATAAATGATAGGTTGTTTGATTCATAGATGGATAGACGATAGGTTGGTTGCTGTATGAATAGACGATAAGTTGGCTGGTTGGTGAATAAATGATAGGTTGGTTGGTTGGTGGATAAATGATAGGTTGTTTGATTCGTAGATGGATAGACAATAGGTTGGTTGCTGTATGGATAGACGATAAGTCGGCTGGTTGATGGATAAATGATAGGTTGTTTGATTCATAGATGGATAGACGATAGGTTGGTTGCTGTATGAATAGACGATAAGTTGGCTGGTTGGTGACTAAATGATAGGTTGGTTGGTTGGTGGATAAATGATAGGTTGTTTGATTCATAGATGGATAGACGATAGGTTGGCTGGTGGATGGATGATAAAGTGTTTGATTTGTAGATGGCAATAGGATATTTTAGTTGGTTTGTAGACGGATAGAGATACAATAGGTTAGTTATTTGGTTTGTAGTTGGCGATAGGATATTTCAGTTTGTTGGTTGATGGATGGATAGACGATAGGTTTGTAGATGGATTGATAGACGATACATTGGTTGTTGGAGGGATATATGATAGGCTATTTGATAGGCAAATGGGTGGGTTAATTTGATGGAGAATGAGGTGACCCAGTAGGTAGTGAATGAACAGCTTGACACAGATCGATGAATGAATAAAGAATGGACAGTTCTGTGTGTGTTATGTTGCTCTATATTTAGACACATTTATTGTGTTGTCACCAATGTTATTCAGTTTGATAAGTGAACAAGTGAACATCCTGCTGTCCCAACTCATCGGTTCTGAGTCTCAGCAAGAACCTGATAACCCTAACAGCCTTTTCACCACTTATATCACTCAGGTATTGTAAAACATGTATAGCCTTATACTAGTACAAGAAATGTAGGAGTAAAGTGCTACTTTTCCACAAAATTGAAACTTAAACGAAGAGTGCTTGTTTTTGTATTCTTCATTATCAATTTGACGTTAAGGAGTGATTAACAGTGTTCACGTTCGGAAACTGAAATTCTGTTGTTTCTAAAATATCTTGTAATTATTAGAAAAAGTTTTTTTTCAATAAAATGAGTACAGTTTACCAAGTCGATGGTTACATAAACACATGTGGTTCCTTCATTTACCGGTTTCGATATCTAGTGCTTTAAATGAAATTTATTGTCAAATAACAGGCATTGAATTCACAGAAAGTGTACAGAACGTAATGTACATAGATAAGTAAGTATCAAGCGTTAGTGAATAGGAAGCTCTGAAAAAGTTGTTATAAATTGTTCAATATGTTCGCTACTGGAGTTTTAAACCAATATGCTTTTATATCCAGTTCTTTCTCAATGTTAGAGCCAGAGCGAATCTTGTTAAAATTTATAAAGTTGGGTTTTAGTAATAAATAGAGTGAATATATTTCCCGCCCTGACAAGTAAAATAATGTTAAGAGTTTGGCGTGAAAATCTAACAAATAAAGTCAGGAAAAGATCACATGAGCAATTAAAAAAAAAGTAAACTGAGGGAAGTAGTTAGTCAACAAACCTGACCTATAAACCAAGTAGGAACATCGATACATAAGCAGTCACACCCAGAAAACATATTTGTATATAAAGCGTGTAATGTAGTGAAAACAAAATGATCAGTATGCCTAATTAATATTAAAACTGTTATCGAGTATGGCTAAATACTATTAAAACTATTATTGTGCATGCTCGAAGAGTGTTAAAACTGTTGTGGTGTATTGCTAAGAATATTAAAACTGTTTTGGTGTATGTCTGAAGAGTGTTAAAACTGTTGTGGTGTATACCTGAAGAGTGTTAAAACTGTTGTGGTGTATTGCTAAAGAATATTAAAACTGTTTTGGTGTATGTCTGAAGAGTATTAAAACTGTTATTGTGTATACCTGAAGAGTGTTAAAACTGTTGTGGTGTATTGCTAAAGAATATTAAAACTGTTTTGGTGTATGTCTGAAGAGTATTAAAACTGTTATTGTGTATACCTGAAGAGTATTAAAAGTGTTATCATGTGTACCTGAAGAGTATTAAAACTGTTATTGTGTATACCTGAAGAGTATTAAAAGTGGTATCATGTGTACCTGAAGAATATTAACACTCTTAATACCACTTTACGTTTTACTTTCATGATTGATATTGTGGATTTAAATTATTAAACAGATAGAATTCTATATATCTGTGTATAACAGAACCCTATTTACCACTTACTATTAGTAGATATGTATATATATAATTCACTTATAACTGGACAATGGTATACGATGAAATTGTACTTGCATAATCTCGGGTACTACGTCACATAAGTGTGCAAATGAAGTGAACTTTGTGGAAAACAAAACAAATTGAAGATCTGAATAATACGTTTGTTTTTACATTTTTATCTTCTTACTAATTTAGTAATCGCCAGCTATATAATTCCTTCCACTCGCCTCTCTCTGTACGCTGTCTTTGTGCACATAGAGTCTTGGAACACTGCCACAAAATATGGTGCTTGTGTTGTCTTGAGCTTAAAATCATTACTTGTATGTTTCTCTGTTATTATATTTTTTAGATAAGCATTAATGTTTACTTGTATGAACTGCAGTTTCAGGTTATTCCTGTTAAATAATTCAAGATTGAAAATACTATTTGAGTAGATTATCTATAAAAAGCTAAGGGTGGATTTCCATATATTTTATTAGCTACTTACACGTATTTTAATTTTGTGTTTCTGCAGGTGGTGTGACTTCAAAAGGATTGTGACTATTTCCAATATATATTGGATAGTATCTCATTAAAAAAAAATTCAAGAGACTACAGATGTCAGTGTACATGCGTTAGATGATTCTGCGCACCAATTAGAAGATATTTCACACCATTACGCCTATCAAAAAAAGTAAAATAAACAAGGAAAAAAAACTGGAGTTCTGTAGAAGAGCTTGGAGGAACGAGAGGCCAGGTGACTTCAGTGTCACAATGGTCTCCAGTGAAGCATATACTTATCTCTCGTCTGTAAAATGGGGTAGTGAAGGCTATTATCTCAAAGAATTCACTCAAAAATTCACACTTCCCCAAGTGGCGAAGATTATCAAGGGACAATATCTTAATCTCGGGGTTCCCACTCTCCCCTCTCCCTCACCTAATAACGTCGTGTTTCTTGCGTCTGGTGGAAAAAGAATCAAAATGGCCGCTCAGTGTGTGAAATTTAAAGAAAATCGGCGAGTAATATTGGTGGGTCCGAAACTAGCTATTCCGGACAACTATGACGGATGGTTTGAGATCTTGTCCGAGGATGGCCGACCAATGAGGTGCATAGAAAGTGTGGCGGAAATGTCCAAGCGTTTTCCTTCCTCTTGTCTGGTTAGAGAAAACATTAAAGTATTTGTATCGAAAATTGATGACCCCGAAAATGTCAGTGATAAAACGCGAAGTCTTCAGGCTGGGGAAACGATACATCTTGTCGATGAGATATTGGCCGCACCTGTTAGGGGCAAAGCCCCTGGACGCTTTTTGCGTTGTCTAACTGACCGAAATGACACTGTATATCTTAGTCATGAACAACGTGGTAAGTTCAGTCCAATGGCTGGTGAAGATAACATTTCTGGTGTTCACACTATTAAAACCATACTAAGTAAACGCTTACCATTAATGGTGCGATTAGTCCACGGTAAGCCCCCTACTGGTCTGAAGTCGAGTTTCACTTTCCTGCCTGAAATGCGCCTCTACTCTCTTTTCGAGGAGGAATGTATTATGGCTCTCCCGCTACTAAAAGATTCAGCTATAGTACCGTTACCTCTGACAGCCCCTTTGAAACTTCAATCTCCTAGAAATGTCGAAACTCTCGTGAATCTTCGTGAATACACGATACTCAACGAGAAGTGCAACAAGATAATACAAGAAGTTTCAGATAAGATCCAAGTATTTGATATTTCCATGAGTAAAGAACTGCGAAGCAAAACCAAAACCAGCTATCACTATCCTAACAGAATTCAGAACCATTTCCATCTTAAACAAGGCCGACAAGCTTCCCTGGTGAGACGGAGCCTGTCAGACCCACAGGGACAAGGAAAGGGGAAAACAATCGTGACTTTAGAGAGAGGACTTTCTGCACCGGGTGCAAGTACGGATCTTCGAATTGCTGAAGGTGAATCCAAGGAGGAATTGGTCATTGACGATTACGACGAAATCGATCAAATTTACGATTATGTACGTGGATTGATTCCACTTCCAGAAAAGATAAAAAGAGATTTCTCAGCCAATGATAAATCTTCAAGTCCAGAAAATTCGGCCGCTTCCAGGTTTCCTACTTCCCCAGTCTCGCCTGTTCCAACTTCTCCCTTAGTTTCTACTACAAACGAGACTTCTACAACGGAAGGAGACAAAGTGAAGCCGGAACCACCACCTGTCGAGACTATTCCTGCCAGAAAAATGTCAACCAGTACAGAGCCCTGCTACTCTTCTGGTCAGAAGATTACTGTTAGTATCGTTCAAAAACCATCTTTTAGACCCAAGGGAGGTTCTTTAAAGGACAACGATGGAGCCGACGTTCATTTCACGACTGACCACACATACGAAAAACTGGATAAAAGAAAAGAAGACCCCAAATGTACTTACACTAAAAGTAATCACAATATTAAAGCTTCTAGTGACCGGACGTTTTATATACCTAGTGGACACCATCCTTGTCAAAACAATAAGTTTTTCATCAAGAATGCTCCTCAACAGAGGCAGGCTCATAGTACCAGGATCTTTAAAAATTTCAAGAGTTCTCAGACTCACAGTACCAGGATCTTTAAACATTCCAAGAGCTCTCCAGTAAAAGTATCAGTTCCTTTTCAAAGAACCTCTCGCGCCAAAACATGCCGCTCCAACAAGTCAATCACAACGTCGCCTCTCTTCAACATCCGCTACAAATCACTTACTAACCTAGCTCCCAAGTTCAACAACACTCTTGAATCTAGCAACTCTGTTGACCAAACCTCCTCGGGCTCTGGCTTGAAAGAACTTGCAAAAGACACCAAAGGACAGAATAAGAAACTTCCTAGACCGAAATCATTAACAAATCTTTTCTGGGAATCCAGCCGAGTAGATAATTACAACAATTATAACTTGGTGCAAAATGAAATAAACAGGAAAGCAGATAATACTAAATATTTATTTTCACACGAACTCTCATCGTCTAAATTAATCAATGGTGGTCCAAATAAACGCATCGGGACTCTTTATCTCTAAGAGTTGTATTATTTAGATGGATTGATGAATTATTCTATGGTACCAGGAGAATGTAATCTTATCCTACTGGACAAGGTATATACTATATAAGAAAGAAAATCAGCGAAAGGAAACCAAAAATGATAAGTTTCAAATATCAAGTTGTCATCATATTACAATAATCATGGAAGAAAATTGAATAATGGATACTAATAACAGTAACTATCAAAACATACGCGGTGCAAAACTTTGAATAACATCAACTTAAGTCATAGTTTAAAAAATTAGCCATTTATTTTTGTCATTTATAAGTTTCTATATTAAGTGATTTCACAAAACTATGTTATTTTAATGGAATGTAAGCGTATAGAAAGAGTAATTGTGCCATGTGTAAGCTGATTCTAGTTGGTTTATGTTCGAATTTTGCTGCTCAAGAAAACAAGTCAATAAGAGACACGTGATGAGTCACTATCATTCTAAAACATATAGAAACTTATGTGATAATAGTCATATACACTGGTGTAAATAAAATTATATAAATATGTGTTTTTAAGTTTAAACACTGGAGAAGTTTTAAGGAAGTATAATCATTGATCCTGTTTTAGTTTCCTTATTTAGCTTCTATTTGTTGGGTGTACCAGAGAAAGTTTCGCTATTTTGGTTTGGTTGCTCTTTTTTTTTTTGCTACGTATTATTATTACATTGATTCCTGTTTTATCAATAAAATTGTTAGAAATTATGAGTGCTATCTGTTCTTTATTCTCAGGTTATAAAAACATAAAGAAAACTTGATATTAGTCCATTAAGATAATCAACTTTCACTATTTTGATTATACACACATCCGTTTTCCCTCCTAATCTCGAAGGGAAGTAGCACAAACATTCTCGTTCGTAATCCTAACTGCTGACTTGTATAAATATACTTATTCATAATCCTTACTGGAAGCTTTCATGAACATGTTCATTCATAATCCTCATTAAAGACTTACATAAACATTCTCGTTCATAATCCACATTGGAGACTTGCATAAACATATTCATAATCCTTTTTAGAAACTTTCGTAAACATGCTCATTTATAATCCGCATTGCAGACTTGTATAAACCTACTCGTCCATAATCCTCAGCGGAGACTTGAATAACTACTTAACGTAAACATACTCGTAAATCTGTATTATTGCACATTTACGGAAAATATTAGAGATGGATAAAATAATACAGCTGAAGGGAATGTTACACAAGCAAACATTTTCGACTCGTAAACTATGGAGGTATGCTAATTATTTAAACATGTAACACCGCTTTTAACGCCATTCTTAACATTGGTGTTGTTATTAATTAGGAGAATCCTGCATATTTTGAAGAAGTAGTGAATAATTCATATTTAGTTTTAGTTGCTGGAATGCATGACAAGGATACATTTAATCATTTTCAAACTGTAGCTTTCAGGCTAGTTTTATTTTCCTATATTTGTAATACTACTTGTTAGGACCTATACAGCTGCAAAATCATACTTAAATGTGTATTTATTTTTACTATTTGTTTATGTACTTAAGTTGCATATATCAAAGTATTAACATTTTTACAATTACTTTTACAAAAGTTAAATAGTCTGACAAAGAATTAATATGTTAAAAAGTTTATACCGATTTTCCCAGAAACAAGACAATCGATCCTCATTTTTTAATTATTTAACACTTCGCATGCTTGAAAATTAGTCTTCACCAAATATTTAACTTGTTAGTGTATGATGTATTCATCTGTAACAAACCTCAGGTAAAAAAAAAAGTGAGGATGACGTCAAACATGTAGAGATCAAAGATAAAAGTACTTCATTTGTGGAGGAATTTATGGAAAAACATAAGGGAGAGTATTTTAACTGTTGGGGAATTTATGGAAAAACATAAGGGAGAGTATTTTAACTGTTGGGGAATTTATGGAAAAAACAGAGAGGAAAATACTTTAACTATAGATAAAATTGTAAAGCAACTAAAGCTGTTAATATGTGTTAGAATGTAAGCCATATTTATATTATCTTTAATATAAAACGTATATTCAGGGTGTGGCCATTTAGGTACGTGATCCAGCGATTCCTCAAGAGGTCACTAGTAACGTAACAAGTGGAATTCTAAATCTGGTCATGAGATTTAATCAATAGTTTAAAAACCTGTATAGATCATGAGAGAGGGATATGTAGAAACAACACACTCTGTCATGAGATTTAATCAATAGTTTAAAAACCTGTATAGATCATGAGAGAGGGATGTGTAGAAACAACACACTCTGTCATGAGATTTAATCAATAGTTTAAAAACCTGTATAGATCATGAGAGAGGGATATGTAGAAACAACACATTAACAATCACCTCACCAGTTTGTTTTTCCTTCTAATTTTATTGACTCAACTTTGCTTAAGTCAGTGTAATGTAAACTTCCAGAAGTTTTCCTTTGACATAATAGAGAGAGAGAAAAGAGAAGCGGTGAAAACAATTTAAGACTTTCCAATGCAGAATAAGTAGTGCCCCACTTAAAGGTAAACGAATAAAAAAATGCTAATGTTGAAAAATACCAAAACACAGGACAAAATAATTTTAAAATATTCAAAACATCAAAAAATAGCCGAAAAGAATCAAACAAAGCAAAAAATAGATAAAAAACAACTAACAAATAGCTTAACATTGCTAACAAACATCGAAAATAACAATCATCAATTTTTTCTTTGCCTGCCCTCCAAGTCTTTCAATTTTGGCTTCTCTCTAAATGCATGGGATTTCTTCCCCACCTTACTTAAGGGCTTTATGGTTCTGCTCTGACTTGAAGGATTATATTACTTGAATTAGTAGCATGCTTTTAAGATGATGATTTTATATCAAATGTTGAGTCAAATGATGGTGATTAAGAATATGATATCATTGATATCCTATTGGAAGTGCAGATAAAGTGAAAGTATCTAGGAATGCCTCAACAGTTTTTGGAGGTATTTCCATAAATTTCAGTATTTCAAAATACACAGAAGATTCCTCAAATAGATTATTAGTGGCGGGAAATAACTCAACTTTTCATTTTTATAAGCATTAACAAAAATAGGTTGAGATGAATAACTACTTTTACTAATTTCAAATCAACCAATTTCCTTTTCCCCAAGCATTAATATAAAGAAAAACTTAACTTTCCTGTTCAAAAGCGTACAATAATTTTCAAATATTCGCCTTGTTGAGCCCCATATCCGCGTCGAAGAAATTATAATAAGTAGTTCCATTAATAAGCGTTTTGTTGTTCGCAAAAAGTCTATAGCATAGAATGGAAACTTTCTAGTTATATAATCTATTTTAATTACACGTGAGATTCACACTCTGCTATGTTTTTATTAATTTATATAACAGTAAAACGTTTTATTTACTAATTCATATCGTTTATATATTTCATATTAACTGCATCTTCATCTGCATTCGGTTTTATTGAGTTTGTTAGAGTATTTTTATTTGCATAAAATTTCTATCTTCATTCAGTATTAATGAATGATTTTTCTAAATATTGTAGTTTTCTTCCAGTTTCAGTATTAAAGTTATTAAGACTTATATTAGTATCGTCAATTGACTCTTTAGAATTTCCTTTGAATACATATATTTCCCTGAAATGGGGCCCAAGGCCGACTGGAGTAGTCACCTGTTTTAACCACTCACACCACTCTACAGTAGTGTTTGTCTGTATGTCAGTCAGTCAGTAAACACCAAAATGACGTCACATAAGGTATGATTAACGTTGAAATTTGTACTGTCGTGACGTCAGTAAAACGTGCGCATGCCTTGAATCACGAGAAGAATTATACACTATTATGACATGTGAACTTCAAAAGCAAGAAATAAAAATACTTGTTACTCTTAATTTGGTTTTATTTACTCTTGAACAAGAATACTTTCGTGGACTCTGCGCAAGTACATCTAGTTTGATACTTCAGACTATACAGAATAAAATTAGTATGGCATGCTATGAGCACAATGAAAGACGAGGACAATGGAAAATTTATGACTGAATTTATAGGGCTCAGGTCTAAAATGTTTACCTTAAACGTACAAGGTGATAAAATTCCGAAGAAGACTAAATATTTAAAGATATATTTTAATAGAAATAGAATTACATTCGATGAATATGAATATTTATTTAACAAATAATATATAAAACTATGAATCTAATAAGCAGTAAAAAGCATGAAATATATTCTGTTCAATTTAACAAGGAAGCATTAAGCTCAAATAATGACAAAATATATGTAATACCAGATGGTATTAATACTTTAGCGAGGAATCTTCTTTATATTTTGAGTTACAAAAATGTATGGAAATACTTCCAAATTATGTCGAAGCATTTATAGATACTTTCATTTTTACCTGAATTCCCAATAGGATATTAATAATATCATATTTTTAATTACTAGCATTTGCCCCTATTTTTGACATAAAATCTACATCTTTTTAAGTATGCTACTAATTCAAATAATGCAAGCCTTTACGTTGGATGCAGAATCACCATGCCCTGAAGTGGAGTGAGGCAGACACCCCATGCCCCTAATTGGGATACAAAATTGAAAGTCCTGGAGGCAGGTCAACCAAAAAAAATTGACGATTATTACTTTCGATGTTTTTAGCGATTTTGACCTATTTTGCAATTAATTTGATTGTTTTTGCTGTTTTTGATTATTTTGGCTACTTCTTAATGATTTTGGCCTATGTTTCGGCGTTTTTGAGCTCTTATTTGGTGTGTTTTAACATTTGCCTTTTTGAATTTGTTTACCTTTAAGTGTGGTATAAATCCCATATATACAACACTTGCCTATCAAATTTTCTCATTTATTTATCTAACAATCCCTTTATTTTACAAAAGTAATTGCCAAATTATAATCAACTTAGCAAGACGTGAGGAGAAGAAAGTCGCGACTTTAATATTCTTATGCTGTAGGTTTTATTTGTTTACATTTTCACATGATCCTTCAATTTTTCATTCTAAAGTAATGTGTAAAGAGCACTTAAAAAGTCAGAACGTTGCGTGAAAACAGAATACACTATTTAAAATCAGTAAGACAATTAATCTTTGTGATTTTTCGAGCATTGGTAAGTAAACAGAGTGACGGTGTAAATACTTCTTGTATATGTATATATAAACAAATTACGCATTCTTGAACCATTTTCTTATAAACTCATTAAAAAGGAAATCATAACATAATCAAGCCTCAATATATTTATAACAACAACAAAAAAAACATCAGGCTTGCAAACTTCAACTTATCAGTATGCAAACCTCAACCTATTAATATGCAAAATCTCAACCAGTCAGTATACAAAACATCAATATGCTGATGCAAACTCAAACTGCCAGTGTTCAAATCTCAACTTGTCACTATACTCACTTTAACCTGTTAGAATGAAAACCTTAACCTGGCAACATGTAACTGCAACCTCTCATATGCTAAACTTCAACCTGTTAGCAATCAAACCTCAACTTGTCACTATATTCACTTTAATTACAAAACACTAGGCCTAAAATGTTCCAAATGCTCTCACGTATTAAAACTCCTTCAAATACATCCTCGAAAGTAATCCCAAAATTGCGAACCTCACGTAAAATGCAAGTGATGTATACAGAATTATGTTCTGAGTTCTAAATAATTTAAAAGTAATGAC